AAATATATATATATATATATATTATATGTATATTTTCTTTGTTTTTTTACAAAACTGACCCTGTTTCAAAAAACATCGATCGACACACTATTTTTTTCAGAGCACACACAAGAACTATTACGAATGACGTACAACTCGGACGATCGATACGACGCGATTTGTTCCGCGTGGCCGGAACAAAAAATAGACACATTTACGTTAATTTACGTACTGGTACGAGCACGGCCGTTGAAGCAAGCGGTTTTTATGACCGAGGCAATGCACCGGCCAAGTAGTTATGTTTATACTACCAGCAGCTGAGGGCAACGTGATCATGATAGCCGAAAGCTTGTCGACGACTGTCTGTGCACAACTGGCGTTCCGCTTTCGTACTGCCGAGCTGCCACGGACGGATATTCATGCATCGTGGCTCGCTCTGGACATTACAGCGATTCCATTAGACCTCGCCGACGTAAGTTGCACATAAATTAAAGAATGATTTTGCTCGAGTATTAATTTAATCTAATTTAATTTGAAACGGCAAAACTCGTAGTAAAATTCTAAACTTCATAATGTCTGCTGAATCTTTAATTCATCTTTCATATCATAATAAAAGATTAATAATATTCTCGCTTGAACTTAAAAATTTCATCCAAGTCAGCCTAATTAATCTAGCGTTTTCCCGATTATAGAGTAATACTTCAGTATGATTTTCTGTTACATTCGCAGCAAATCTTTATTACGCAGTAAATTATTCCGGACGATGTTTTTTTTTTAATATATTGTTAGTGCAATTCCGCGCAATTGTCTAATATCAATATAGCAACGACAGCTATTTCTGCGATAGAATTATTTCTGTCATAGACATCGTGTTATAATTTTATTGTATTATTGTATTAAATATTAATAATTATAACACACACACACACACACACACACACACACACACACACACACAGAGGATATCCGATAAATTTTGACAAAGCGTTTCTGTGTCTAGATAGTACCCGATAAAAAATTTTTCATGCATGAAAATGTATATGAATATGTATAACATACATAAATATTAATATATAT